TGTCTCCCACGCTTACAGCTTCATTTGGCCTGGTTTTGTACAAATATTATTTTCTATTTTATGGTGTGGTCTGCCTGTCTGGTATATAGATAAAGTATGCTTGAAATAAACGATTCGCATTACAGCAGCTGCTATTGGTGTTCTGGACTCAAGTGGACGGGTAGGCGGATAAGGACCAATAAGGACGCTAGATTACTCATATTAATCGAACGTCATTGTCACAGTGTGAAGGTCGTAGAAGGCGTATTCTATTGGTGGATCATTTACGAGAATTACGTCCTTGTTAAATTCGTAAGGTCATAACGAATCAGCGACGACCTTGATCAAGTCATAACAATTGGCTACAGTCTAGGTCAAATCATAACAAATTGGCGACGGGGATTTCAGTAAAAAAAAATACAAGAATTGGGACGTGATTCTGAAAAAAAATACAGCAGTCGGTGACGTCATTTTGGAATTAAATAATCCATAATATTTGCCGGTGTTTTTTTGGATTTATTATTATTATTCTCATTTTTTAAAAAAATGTCAATTTCTCCAGAACAGCTACAGTTAATATTGCAGCAGCAGCAGCAACAGATGTTAGCTTGTCAACAACAACTCCTGGAATCACTTTTGGGGAAAATGTCTATTCAGCAAGATATTCCAGAACATAAAAGCATAGAGTCATATCTTAATCCAATTCCAGAATTTATTTTCGATGCAGACAGCGGTCACACTTTTGAAGCATGGTTTGGCAGAATTGAAGATATTTTTCGAGTAGAATTTGCTGCTATGGAGGACACAAAGAAAGTCCGGTTGCTCTTACAGAAACTTGGTCCTAACGAGCATCAGAAGTATAAAAACCATATCCTGCCCAAACATCCACGAGAGATTAGTTTCGATGAAACTGTTAACATTTTAAATAAAATGTTTTCTGAACAGATGTCTCTATTTCGTATCCGGTATAATTGCCTACAACTGACTAGAGGAGCTGATGAGGATTATACTACGTATGCCGGAAGAGTGAATTTACAAGCGGAACGATTTAAATTAAATGTGTTAACCAGTGATCAATTTAAATGCTTATTATTTATTTCTGGTCTGAATTCTCCCAGTGATGCTGATGTTCGCATGAAGTTATTATCTCGTATGGAACATGACGAAGAAATGACTCTACAAACTGTTACTGGTGAGTGTCAACGATTAATAAACTTGAAACAGGATTCGGCTATGTTAGAAACCAAAAGTGCTGCACCATCTAATCATTCGGTCCATGCTATTAAGACGAGTCAACGACAACAGAGTGTCAAAAGTTATAAATATCACACAAAAATTCCTAAACCTTCAACGAAATGTTGGTATTGCGGCGCGTGGCATTTTTCAAGATTTTGCAGATTTAGAAATCATAGATGCACGGTGTGCAATAAACTTGGTCATAAAGAATCAGTTTGCCGGACAAGAGAAAATTTGAGATCAAAGCCTACGAAGCGTCCTCACCAGTTTCAAAACAAATATATTAACAGTATATATTCTACACGAGCTTTGAAGGTCGTAGAAGGCGTATTCTATTGGTGGATCATTTACGAGAATTACGTCCTTGTTAAATTCGTAAGGTCATAACGAATCAGCGACGACCTTGATCAAGTCATAACAATTGGCTACAGTCTAGGTCAAATCAAAACACTTCCCACAACTGAAATAAAGTATTCAGTACCTTAACAGACGTCAGTGTATAAAGATGCTAACCTAGCGATTGATACAACAGCGGAGGCTTACATAACCTGACTACCTTTGCAACAAGACACAAGCACGTGTTTTCATGAAGTATATTACTGTCATCCGCCTGGTGATGCTAACTGAGAGATACAAGTATGATAGGCCTTTGGGGTACATATGCCTGTCACTGCAATGTGACCACTCGTTTTATGTGTGCTTTTATATCTATTTGGGTGGGACACATATATTTATATGCGAGTGCATGTACCCCATGATCAGTTAAACCTAAGTAGCACTTAACATGGTTTAATTAGTAACGGCTATGTCAGAAAAGCAGAGATATATGAGTATCTAGTAGGCGGGAACCAAGTTAAATTAGGAGAACACCCGTGGGCGAACGGAAAGATGTCACTAATAGTGAACAAGTATATACGTGAACTGCAACTGTCTCATTATCTAAGAAGGTTTACTACAATCGGACTATGACGGAACTTTTGTTGAGTATAAATATTGTACATATAAATAAATCACACAAAAGTAAGTTATAGGTGAATCTAGCGGACAAGAATGATCGCAATATATGATAATATTTATTAGGGAAGATAGGATGTAGTCTGGATCAAAACAATTGGAGTAAATTCTCTGCAACCGCTACGTTTCAGAAAACGGTGATAAAATTCAGTTGTTAAATCTTTTTAAGGTTAATTACAAACTCAGATGAACAAATGATAATTAGTACTAAAAACACTGACCATTATATACTGTAGTATCGGTTCATATGTTAAGCCCATATACTTTATTCTAGTTGCTGGCCAAGCCAATTCACCTGTACATTGAGTCATCTTTTGATCTTGTTAATCATTTGCTTATTAACCTTGAGTACTTTTTATATGAGCGCATATGTGTACACTTCGTATCTTATTCATCATATGTCTGTCACTCATTTTTGCCTGCCTATAAATGTTAGTTAACGCTTGCTTAAAATGAGTTGGCTTCCCAGCCATCTCCAATACGCATCATCTTTGCTTCGCTTGCTTACAGTTGCTCATGTGCTTACAACTTTCTGGTCTGCATCGATTATCAATAAAAATGTAGTTGCCGCTTCCCTTTGCCTTCTGATATTATACACCGTTAAGATTGGTATTAATAACGGTTATCGAAGCGAACTATGATCGAAGCACGGCATCAACAAAACTGGTAATCCCGACGTACGAACACGCAACACAATTAGCGATCCCGACTTACGAACGCGAAAACATAATTGGATGTCTCGCCGAACGAACATCGACCAGAATCGACAACCTCGACGTACGAACTCACAACATAATTGGCACGCCGTATTTGGAACACGCGACAGAATCGGCAACCGCAACGAGTGAACACAAATCAAAAATGAAACCGCGGACGACATATTTCGTTGATTCTAATAATCATCATATGCTCATTATTACAATAATGTCATATCATCATCTAACGTGGAATTATTATTTTTACTCGTATTCACATTAAACTATGACATTCACGCAGTCGAATCACTAATCGAACAAATTATAATTATTTGGACATTACACTTTATGATATTCGACACTCACTGGATTATTTTTATTATCCAATGACGTACAATTTTCCTGATTCGGGTGAGTTCGTTCCAATTTTCTCATGTCATTTTCGGTCTAATATTACACTCTATCATAGACATAAGTTTGGAGTCACACTCCCGATAGTAGTAACTTATGTTCTCGATAGACAACTAATGTTCATTCATTTCATTGGTACGCAGCAACCGTCGTTTCCTACATTTTCAGCGACAACCTAAACCGAACTTCCGCAATTTTTGTTTCACGATGATCCCTACTTTAATGTCTATACACAAATTAAGTATTCGACGCCGCATTACCAGCCGATTAGTAATGATTATGTTCATATTATCTATTCATTCATATGTATATCTGAATGCTGCATCATCCATTACCGATAATCACAATTCGATTACTACGATTAATATTCTATTCTCAATGCACTGTACGCCAGAACATAGAGTTTAGAGCTAGTCTCTCAAAGATACACTCTTGTTCGTCACATCCAAGTCAGCCTCACTCGCCGCCATCAATAATCATATGTATTGGTATTTTTGTTATGCCTTAATACGGTTTCGTAACAAACGAGGTTGAGCGCATATCCCTCTAACTACACAAACCACGATAGGCTTCATGACCAAAAAGGAATACGACTCCGCATATCTCGTCTCAGCAGTCACTATCCTGTTCCTTTGGTCATTCTACTAATACATATTTAACGATAACTCGACGCAAACGGTAACATACGCTGACTTCGCATTTTATTATCATTATCAGTAGCAGTACAGCAATGAATATCAACCGCTGATGCAGTCATCATCCTACGGCTGGATTATTTTTTATCCCACGTAAACTCCAATCGTGTAAATTCGAATCCACTCATCGCCAATCGACTCTATTTACTCGACTGCAGCTTATCAGAACATATTTCATTGTTATTTATCCTCATATTCAATCAGCACCACAGAGCAATTACTGTTATACTCTATTTTCACTATATTTCGAATCGCTCATACGAACATGTTATTTTATCATTCGGACAGTCACTACATAAATTCATGTTAAAATTTTTTCGAACGCTTACTAATGTACTCATAATCACATGCTAGCATCCCTATTTTTGTCCGCACTTTGACAATATTCATGTTCCTTTTTACATAAGTATGACACTTTCGCTTAATACGCTCACCCCTCACATGACGCTGTAATTCATCAGGTATTGTACCATTTTTTCCCACATTTTGAAGTTATCCTCATACCGCTTCAGTGTTATTTTTCGAAAACAGACATTTTTTTATAAATGTGCTATTTTCTACAAGGGGGCTATGTAGTACCAGTTCATATGTTAGGCCCATATACTTTATTCTAGTTACTGGCCAAGCCAATTCACCTGTACATTGAGTCATCTTTTGATCTTGTTAATCATTTGCTTATTAACCTTGAGTACTTTTTATATGAGCGCATATGTGTACACTTCGTATCTTATTCATCATATGTCTGTCACTCATTTTTGTCCGACTATAAATGTTGATTAACGCTTGCTTAAAATGAGTTGGCTTCCCAGCCATCTCCAATACGCATCATCTTTGCTTCGCTTGCTTACAGTTGCTCATGTGCTTACAACTTTCTGGTCTGCATCGATTATCAATAAAAATGTAGTTGCCGCTTCCCTTTGCCTTCTGATATTATACACCGTTAAGATTGGTATTAATAACGGTTATCGAAGCGAACTATGATCGAAGCACGGCACTACAATACATAGAATCGGTAAGTATAAGCAGGCAGAGAAAAAACTCATCGTTTCAGGTTACTCTTGTAAGTGAGAAATCTCATAAAATAACCGAGTATCCTAAAGAAATTCATATGTAACTGTATACATAATAATAAAGATTTATATGAACTCAAAATTGTCAATTCCTCGACAAGCATACAAAAGAATCAATGTGCGCAGATCCAAAATACTGCATACAATCATTGGAATTAATTAACAAGAAAACGAAGTACGAAGTGAAATTACTTTTACCCTGCGACTATACTTAAAATGTTTGTAGGAGTTCCAAGTTCATTTACAAGAATTCTTTCATAGTAACCGGTCGTCGAACTGCATTTGAGTAGCCCTCCTTAAAGCGGTAGTAAATATCCCGATCGACAATGAACTCTCCTTGCTCACCGCAATCTATCGTACATTAGTAGCATATAAGAAGAACACAATTTACCTTCAGTTGTATTCGCAGTATTAGAAATGTTCATTTTATCATTGATTACGCGTCCAAAGAAATCTTTTTTCACCTGGGAAAGTCGAAAAAGCAAACGTTTGATGAAGTGCTTAGAAGTTTAGACTCAAACAACTTTAAACAAAGTTGTAGTCGAGATTAAGGACGACATCATGAAATAAGAATCATGCAGCGGTCAACATTTTGCCAAAAATATTCTATCCACATAACGAAATCAAGCATTTATTTCCTCAAAATTCTACAGAAAAACCACCTAGCCAAATTAAGGCTATCAGGAATAGAAACCGAGTCTCATAACGCTGAACAATGACCTACGAAACATATACGTAGGATATAAATAAATTACGAGATGTTCACAACCAAGAAAACAAGCATATAATCAACGACAACTTCCCACTAAACCTTTTTAATGTCAGCACGTCTAGAAATCACTTCAGAGTACATGTCAGTGCAATATTTTGATTTCAATATGCAGATGATTAGATATGTAGGCTTACAATCTTGTTGTAAAGAAACATCAAAGCTGAAATTGATTGAGAAATATACAGAAAAAGCAAAATTATGACTGCATAATGTTTTCTAGAAATGAAATGTGACTATTTCAAATGATATAAATCCAAATAGTTCATCTTAATGATCAGCAGATTTTAAGGGAAGGTTAATTCAACAAACAAATTGCTGTGTTCCGTATCACAACAAAAGTTATTTTAAAAGCCCTCCCCCCCCCAAAGAAAAATAAAGAAGAGATTCGTTCCAATGAAGCGAATTTTAGTAAGGCAAAAAGAAAAATAACTTGAAATAGAAAATTTAACATCGAGAAATACCCAAACAACGATAGAAATTACAAAAATTTATCAGTAACTAATTATGTACATTCAATGATGGATATAAAACACTGACTATTTATAGTTTATACAGCATAACAGACTAGGAAACCAAAAAGGAGAAGTTTATGAATACCAAATCGTAGGGATAGTAGAATTATCAAAAGTCTAATATAATCTAATATAACTTTATCATATAATTAATGTAGAGAATAAGTGTTTTAATTAATTAACTTTTAGTTATTATGTAGTCATTTGAACTCTATTCCAATGAATTTCAGTTTTATCAACCATAAAGTAAGATTAGCTTTCATACATACAGTATGGCTTGAAGTTGAGTTCATTAATCTATATTTGGTAAATGAATTATGATATTAATCATATATAACTGTAAACTTCTAGGAATAGTTTAACTTTGTATTATATGGACAATTAGACGAACTAATTTGTAATATTTTTAACAATTCAAATTTTGATATTAACTAATTTAAATGTGCCAATATCGAGCTGTTTACTTTCTTCACCAGAACTTTACTTAGCCATGCTGGGAGGTGTTGTTGGATTGTGTCGGATTTTGGTTTGGAAATATATTGACGTTATAGTCAGGCTAATCTCGTGTTCTTGATCTGAGTTGTGTTAAAGTTCTGTAGAATAGACACTGGGTGGAATCTAGTATACATATTCGTCTAGGGTAAATTAACACCCCACATACGTGTAAAAAGTAAAAGAACTGTTATAACAAGAAACCCTAGCGTTATAACTAGCATTCTACCGTTTATAACATATAGTCTTAGAACTTTAAAAAAAATTTCAAGTCTATGATGATTAAAAAAAAGATAGGATATAAAATAATTACTAACCTAATGTTTATACATTTTTGTCTATACTACTCCTCAAATGATTTTTTCTTAAAAATTGAAATGAAGATAGCTGGACACTTGTACACCACAAAAAATAAACACAAATAAGATTATTAAATTTATGTGTATAGGAGTTAATTTCCATGAATGTTAAGACAGGTATCTAAGTTATAGTGAGATAACTAACAAGTAATCACGTCATTTAACTGAACTACTTGTTATCTATATCATATACATTTTATAAGTAATGAGAAGATATGTTTTGTTTTTTATTTACTCTTCATTATGTATTAACTTTACACATATATTTTAATAGTTGAGATTATGAACCAATTAAAGCTAGACCACCATCGAAAACCTGGAAGCACTGGACGGTCGTTTCGTCTTGTTGTGGGACTCCTCAGCAGTGGGTATCCACAATCCCGCCTCGCGAGATTCGAATCCAGGACCTATCAGTTTCGCGCGCGAGCGCTTAACCAATAGACCACTGAGCTGGCATCCATCTGTGTTAATGTCTAACTTCAACCAATCCCCAAGATTGAGCGACACATCCACCAATGTTTTAAGTGAGTTCCTATCTCACAACAGACCTGGTTGAACTCCACCGATCACTGCTTCTCACTAGAACTCCAGGACATACTTCTTGGAGACAGTCACTAGTGAGCATATGTTGATTATTATCAGAATGGGTTATTACACATATATGTCAGGAAAAATACGTCATAGGTCTAAATAACAAATTAAATGAACATTATAAAAAGCTATTAACGTCAATATTTGCCTAAGTTACGTAATTATGAATGTTAAAGTTACCATACCTTTGAACTTTTTGTACCAATAAGTTTTGATTTTTGTGATTCAGTATTCATTAAATTCTCCAGTGATGGTTTGGAATTCAATTTAGTGATGTCATTACAAACTTCTGATTTATTAACATTTCGATTAATCATTGATTCAGAACGTCGAACTCTTTCAATTTCTAACTCACGTGCAATAAATTGTTTAGTACCGTATCCAAGTGAGTTCAAACTACTTGACTTTGTGAAACAAGCAACAAGATCTAATGGCCTGAAATATTATATGACACTCATGTTTTAAAAGGTAGTTTCAGAGAGGAACGGTATAAAGAAAAATTATAGCCCATAAGCCTATCTAAAATATTAACTTCAACTATTCTATAAGCCACGCATCTGTTAAATAAAAGAAAATTGATTTAAGCTTCTGATGTATGGTGGCTAAATGAAAAGTATTCGTTTGTCACTAAATTAAACCATACTTCATCAGTATGCAGGGTAGTGTTCACAATGTCCGTCGGCTACATTGAAATATAAATTATTTGTAAGCAAACTAAGGACTGATGAAACTTCCTAAATAAAATTACGGCAGTCATTATTGAGTAGTATCCACCCAGAACTCGATATGGTATCGAACACAGGACCTTTTAGTGTTACCGTGAGGACTGAATTGGAAGTCAACAGTTTATATTACTAACTTCAGTTAGTGAGACACCATTTTCAATAGAGAACTAATATTATGACCTATATGATAGTTTCTGCACATACACACACACAACATGCACGAGCTCTTCTTCTATTGCATAACGCGTATTTTGAATAGTATTCACACATTATTACGTAATCTAGTGATGATGTACAAAACACCGACATATTGAATCTTTTTAAAAACTAAGCAAATTTTACTTACGGATTAAGTTGATATTTAACTTCGTTACTCACAGAATCCTGTTCTGCCAACCAATTCAAACCAAGATTTAACATTAAATTGACTAAATTGTCAAGCGCTAACTTCTCCTGTTGACTATACAGCTGTGCACTCAACGGCCGAAGAGTGGAAGCGATCAGACTCAAAAGAGTAATTAAAGTAGGTGCCATATCTAATAAAAAATGACGACGTGGTAGAAACCTAGGAAATTTTATCATCGAAAATAAGAAATACCACAATAACGGATTACGATATTGTAAGAGAAGAACTTTATTTAGAACATAAATACAATACACCAAACAAGAATCGAACTTACTGATAATTTTAAATAAATTAAATATAACTTACCAACTAAATATATGGCTCGGAATCGAACGCACTACCAGAGATGTATATATTCTTTTTCTACTTCTATTTTCTGAGTTTCAACATTATATTATGCTGTTTATTCTACCGATTTATTCCTTTTTCTCAAACCATAATCACTATTAACTTAAGTATTACTAATGCAGCGAATACTATTACCATAGTATTCATTTTGTTCATTTCATTCCATTGTATTGACGTATTGTCCCAACGTGGGTTACTGCACATATGTGCCAGTTTCTATGCTATTTATAACTAAGGGACTGATGAGATTTGTTAATAACACCTTGATAATAATACTTTTATAATCTGACACAATAGCTAAAAATTTCGGTAAGTACTTAGTATTTGATATAGTTTATCTGACAATTAACAACATGCTAAAAAGGCTTGTAGCTGTATGAAAAGACTAAAAGTGCAATCATTAGACGACAGGTCTCATTCCTAACATTTTGAGTTATAAGAGAACAGAAAACCAATTTTTACTACACATACAAAATCAATTCACTACATACCGAAAACTGCTAAAATTACTGACAGACTTATCAGATTTACATTGAGGTAGGTTCCATTGATTTGAATATAACTGATCCAATATTGCCAAATAATGTGAACGAGTGGCAGCAGTTTCCGAAGGAGCAGAAGGCCAACGTAAACCACCTACAGATTTGACATTTCCGGTTGATGTGTTATTAGCAGTATTAAATGTGTTGAAAAGACCTGATGGTGTAGCTAAAGCCATATGAAACCAGCAAGGCAAGAAATTAGCATAGCGTATGAGTGAGTAATTCGATTTAGTATGTACACAAGTGTTAAGTAAATCGTCAAACACAAACCACTCAGATGCCTGACGAGCCTGAAAATAGACAAGAATGATGAAACAGGAATATTTCAAATGAGAATATATATATATATATATATATATATATATTAACAAATCGAGATAACTAAAGTGAAACTTACTACTCGTAAGGTTGCATCCTTTAAATGACCATAAAGATAATTCTCAAATATACCCAGTGTGACTTGTTGATGATCAGTAGAGGCTTCTATAACATCCATTATATAGGCCAGTCTTAATATTTTTTAAATAGATAAATATAAGCAACAGTTTATATGCAATAGCAAAAGTGATACAATTTGAAAGTAGGTAAAATAAATTTAAGCAATGTTAGAATTAATAATTACTGCATACTGAAGACAAAGTTTAGCACTGTAATTTCTTCATCGAGTTAATATTTATGTACTTGGTTATGAGCCAAAAAGTTCGTGTGAGAGTTAGCGATACTACTCAACTAACTAAGCCATAATAGATGAGAGCTGAAATCTGTGAATTACCGGTTTGTATGTTATATTTTAAACAGAATCAGTACTGGACTTTTGTACTGTTCTTTTAAACTTTAACAAAAGTTTAAAGAAATTACCTTATGGAATTAGAATTTTATTATGACACTCATGTGTTTAGGTGACACAATAAGACTAGTGCTATGATGAGAAATTATTATAAAAATATAAAATCAACTAACAAACCTTTTTACCTAATTTAATTGAATCTTGATAGATTTGTAAGAAACTCTACATTATTATATATTTAAAATATCCTTATATCATTTCTATAATGACTGCTAGTGCAATAGTGAGATACATTGATTATTTATATAAACGCAAAGGGGCACCGAAATATATGTGCACCACACTAGGCATCTACCATCCAAATTGTGTGGATAGGGATACGGTACGGGTGCCCAAACCGAGACAGGTGATTTTTCTAGGAGGTCAGACCACGAGCCTTTTACCTAGAGGTCTAATCTACAAAGGCAGTAGGGTAACGTTAGGTGATGAGGTCCCATGGTGGCCAGTAACCAACAACAGGTTCATCAACCATTTGTTCCCTCACGATCCTAGAGTTCACGTGCTGCATTGGTTTGGAATCAGAGTTTTCCAACTCCCGTATGTGGATCCTCCGTGCCCACTAACCCAGTTTAAGCGCCGGAAATACGCGTTTTGTCCTCTTGAAATCGTGAACAACCTCGCCGCGATAAAGCAGTTAGCAGGACTTCCCTGTCAGTGGCTACATACGCGTGGACATGCGATAGAATTTCGAGAGGGAGAGCGGGCTCTCCCAACCCTCGAACATAACAAGGCATTCGGGGATTACAGTCAGATATTCATAAAACAATCTGAACAAACTAATAAAAATGAATTTTTCAACTTCAGTCAGTTAATCAGTCGTTAAAAACATAGAATTTGGCACTAATGTCTATCCAACTAATCTATTATTATCACCATTATCTAACTGCTGTAAAATATAATACATAAAAATATGCAAAACTTACCTAGCAGACTGAGTATCATGATTTTTACCATTTCTTCGCCTTGCATTATTATTATTACTATTATTATTATTATTATTACATTCAGACTTGGTTATTCTACGATTTGAAAGTAAACGAGATGAAGGAATGGTGAATACAGCTTTCCACACATCAAATATACCTTTCTGAACATCTTTCAGACCACCGTTATGAAATTGGGACAATGATAAAATATCATTCGCTGACAAACAGCCTAATTTATGGTTTATATTATCATCTAGAGATTTCACTGAACTCAAGAACTGAAAAGAAAACAAAATCTTTGAAATGTAAGTGAAACACAAAGCAATTTTTAAAACATATGATGGAAGATTTCTCATCAACGGCAAGTATTAATTTTTAGTGTCATTTCCTATCATTTGAAATGATAGAACAAGTAGGAAGTTTTTATAAACGGAACATCTTTATCTTCAACTATAAAGCTTTTCGACAATAATAATAATTAATATTATTATTATATTCACACACTAATTGGGATCAGATATTAAGATGGTCCAGTCTGTTCGCACATAGTATTTTACACTTGAAACAAAATGGAGGTACTTTATTACTATTACTATTATTCTGGTGTATTCGTAAAATGAATTTACGAGTACTCATGTTATGTAAACAGTCTACTTGGACCGATGCATAAGTATGCCTGCTTCGAAGTTGTAGTTGACTGACTGACTTCTGATATGTAACAGTTAGTTCAACCAAATTAAGTTTATCCCAAACAATCTCGGAGTAAACATCAATAAAAATGATTATGAATCAATTTAAATACTAGGTTAAAAACCTTGAGTGAATTTACAGTCTGAATTCGTAATAAAATATATGCAGTCAATCAGGGTACTTGGTTGATACTTACTTATATACTATCAGACAAAAGGTCATAATGTAGAATAATATATCCCTCCTCTACTGAGATAGTACAAAGAATATAAGCTCGAAAGGTTAGAAAAAAACTTGAACTCTGGAGCAAAACCATAGAATATTTTACAACGAACTGACGGCTGTCGAGCGTGGTTTGTCCTGTTATTACTTAATGTAGAAACAGAGCCAATGAGAAAAAGTAAAAAAGCCTATCAATGTACACCTACTGTGGTGGACGCTACAAACAAGATTGCCTGTAAGTAGTATGTAGCGGAACATTCGTCAAAAGGAGAGAAGAGGATCAGTACATCAAAAGCACGGCGTAAGCAGGACATTTGAAGACTAGATGAGAAGACAGTTCGGATCTCAGAACACACCACAACGTGCAAATGGATGGTCGAAGTTTATGCATACATATTAAATAAACACTGTAATGTGGTCTATTGCCCTGTCCCATATTACGAATACACTTGTAAAGTAATTGCTAAGCTACCAGTAAACCTTTAAATCCAAATAAACCGAAATCCGCGATCTTGGTGAACAGACATGTATTATGCACTGACTTAGGGTTCTGAATAAATAGTTGATTGGGAGTTCTACTTGTCAGACACATACGAATATTGCGGTCACAAGACAGCTACATCATCACATTTCAGTAGACGTATATATTTAACAAGAAATACCTTTTAAATTGCAGTAGAAGACATCAGAGGTTAACAATATGGTCAAAATAGTTTCGTCCCAGTCTTCCCGTAAATATATGTATACTCTATGCTTTTAAAAGGTATTGTGACCTTCTGAAGAATCAACAATATTTGATTCGCCTATCATAGCTATTTCTCTAGGCAGACGTTTCAAGCCGTGAGTTATCATTTTCAACATAGCCAGTACTTTGAATAAATGATTATCATAGGTACTGTAATCCATTTTTTGAATATAATATGATCGCTCGAAATCTATTAAATATTATCTGTTAACCTTATTATTCCACCTTAATGAGACTCCATACACATTCTTGTTTAACTGTTATCTTCGAGAAATTGAGCACTCTAGTTAGAGTTGTCAGCAGTTCGCCTATGTGAATTGAATAATTAGTCAACACAAGGAATAATAGTGGTACTAAATGACGGGAAACGATAGATGAACTGCTTTCGGAAATTTCTTGTCAATTTAAATTATAAAATAGACCTGTTGTCAATTTCAAAGGTAATTTTAATTATCATTATGGGGTTGTGGAAATTGTTGAGTTTATGATTGAGACCATCAATTGACTAATGTTAGACCACCATTGAAAACCTGGAAGCAGTGGAAGGACGTTTTGTCCTATTATGGAACTCCGTCGTAGTGTGTATCCACAACCCCGCACGTGAGATTAGAACCCAGGACATTCGGTCTCGCGCCCGGACGCCTAACCTCTAGGCTACTGAGTCGGCATCCAACGGCGTTAATGTTTAATTTTAATCGATCCATGAAATTGCGCGGCCATCTTCCGTTGGATACCGGCTCAATGGTCTGAAAGTCAAGCGTTCGAGCGCGAGACCGAAGGTTCTGGGTTCGAACCCCATGTGCGGGATCGTGGGTGCGAACTGCTAAGGAGTCCCATACTAAAATCAAACGGCCGTCCAGTGCTTCCAGGTGATTTTAATATGTGAATTCTTGTTTTTGATAATTACGATGAGCTACACAATCAGTTTCGTTAGTTCAGACAAATACTAATTCTATATTAGTTGGACGCTGTAATCACTAGAGCATATGATTTTTTTCCAAATGTTTCGAAATAAAATGTATTGAGAACATCTACGATACATCATATTAGTTTTCTAGTGGGCTTTGTCTGTAAACCCATAAATCCAGGATAAATTTACATGATGTTTGAAAGAACTAATGACAATCATATTATTCACTTGATTAGCCACCTTTATACAACTGATTTTCAGATGGCAACCTGGTATTTTATTGTGGGATTATACTCAATATGTCTATAGACAGTTGTCAGTTGAAGACTATTTATTAGGTATAGATTTACTGACTCTTAATACGGTAGTTTGAAAGTAAACAAAACTGATTTCGTTTTAAATAGGTAATCGGTGAGAGTAGCAACTTATTTTGTTTGGTCAGAATGTACTTAGACTTAACAACTAAAATTACAGCACCATACAATTAAGTATAGTAGTTTTGCATTTAGAAAATTTTGTTGGAGGATCGATTTCTTGGAGCATTTACGACTTTCGTCAATTACTATCAATTTATGCGAAATACAGCTAACCATAATATTAATTTGTTTTTCTAACAGCAGGTTTCGATAATACTATGTATGCAGAGGCTATATACGCATGGTCATGTGAGAGCTTTTCGAGAGGGAGGGTGGCCCTTCCCCACTCTCGGCCGTACCAGGGCACTTGGGGGCCATGTATGGAGTGTTAATTAACAATGATCTAGACCAAGTAAGTATTGATGCAAACTTCAATAGGATTCACTGTAACCAATGTGTGAATGGGCTTTTTATCCTAGTATAAATCCATAAACAAATAACCATCCCTAGGTAAAGTGAAATAATAGTGTATACAGAAATAATTACAAAGGAAATTTTTACTAACTTGCAATGTATTTAAACACGAACGAATATCTCGATCAGACATTTCTACCAATTGTGTAAGGGTTATTTTGTCAATAGATAATCCTTCTGTTTTAGTTATTAAATCAAGTCTAGAAACCAATCGACCCAAGTCAACAATGGGTATACGTATAGTTAAGCAAGGTATTCCGGGAGCTCGTAACGCTCGAATCGATGGAGAATATCTAGCGATGAGGAACAAGAATGTATTTTGCGATTAATCAATATAAAGAATTGAAAGACAAAAGCATACACCAACGATTACTTCAGAGAAACGATGTATTCCTAAACCAATGAAGAGTTAACACAATTTAATGATAGAATCCTATCTAGCATGCACAGCTTCGGTTTATATTTTCTGTGTGATGGAGAAAAAATCATGACGAAGTTAGGACTTATAATCTAGTGGTTGGAAGTTGAATGTTTGAATTACTAAGCAACGGTGTTTTCATAAATCAAAAGGCAGTCTGTGAAACTAAATGGGTCCCAATGCACATCCAACACAAAGTTAGGCCCACATCAAACTAACAGATGATTATATTCTATAAGACCGTAAAACTACCCATTTCATCTTGTAAAATGGGCTAGATCAATTAAACTGTCACTTGCAGATATTCCAGTTGTAAATTTATAACTTTGCCAATAAAACTTAAATCAGCTAACATTTTTAAGTATGATTTATTGACTTGGGTATACGCTTATCATGCGTTATATTGACATTTACCAATTTGGACTGTGGCAATGCATTTGCTATGTTTTCACAAACTAAATGTGGTGTTTATACAGTAATTGAACCTACAAAAATACGTAAATTTATTTATTGACCTAAGTTTTACAAAAGAGCGTTAAGTCAAATTATAAAGACAACCTTTATCAAATAGCTACTTAAGAAGGGGTTTTGTAGAAATGTTTTCTGATTAGTGGGTGGTATTTATCAAAGATTTATTCAGAATGAGACTGCTCATCAGGATACACCCAACCTGACACTGCCACTAGGAATCGAACTCAGGACCCTAGTGTCACATGAAAAGTACTTAATCATCAGACCACTGGGCACCAATGAATGTTAATCTAGTAGTTCAATAGTTAAATGTAAGCCAATAGACTTGAAGGTCTCGAATTCGATCTCTGTCTAGGTCGTGGTTACCCACTGATGAGGAATCCTATGCTAAGACGAAGAAGCTTTCCTAGTTTCCAATGATGCCCAACTAAGGTCAATCTGTAAAGTACACAAATAACGTTTTTGATACTGGCATGTATACGAACTAAATACATATTTTAGCACAGGGAAATAATTTTTTGATAGCACGGTGTTTGATTCGATTAAGAAATATATCTATTGTGAATAGAAATTAGATTCTTTTGGTGAGAAAAGATTGACACAAATGAAAGTGTTTTATACAGAATGCACATATTTCGAATACTTTAGCTGAAAACAAAACCAGTCCTGAAAGGATGTATTAATAACATACTGATCTAAAATGTATTTACCTATGACACTATTAATCAATCAAACAAATGAGACAGATATATTTACCTCGTCCACCTTCAGGTACCGTTGATTCAAGCTGTGCACACTTTATTATCTTGCTTGTATGGTGCATATTTATTTTGCTGCCTATTTGTACTAATATTTGTGTTTGATATAAATAAATAAATAAATAAATAAAAATAAGGTCCTCAGATTCCAAATTTTTTCAGATAATTTTGTTTTTTGAATCATATTTTCAATGCTTAATCTTTCCTACTGTCACTAAGAATATAACTAATTCTACTACTCTGGAATCTCGTCGTGCTAATGTTGTGCAGCAAATTGAACGGGTCCATAAATGCGCTAGGTTCCACGTCACATATGACTGACTGGTTGAATCAAACCAGGCCTATAAGATTGCAGTAAACAATAAATCACATTGACCGCGGCATAATACAACAAGTAATATATTCAAATAAACTATACTACCATACTTACAGATCATTACATATACAGATAACAGGACGACGCAAAACTAAAGGAGGATTAGCACGTCTATTCCGCTGTTGTTGTCGTTCAGTATTAGACGGCAAAGTATTTTTTGCAGCATTCGCTAATAGTTCAGCTACTACAGGCATAGCTCCGTCTATTTCATCCATGATCAAACAACACGGCTTAAGCTTTGTTTCATGATTACCCAAATTTGTCTTCTTTGATGTATTTAAACTGGTTGAACTAGAAACGATTGCCGTTAAACGATCACGTAGTACACCTAAACTACGGTCATCGCTAAAAATACAACGAGCAAAAATGATATAGATAATTACTAACTCACTACTTAAGCACAGATTTAAGTAGACGGCTTCAATTTACACTTTTTTGAGTGTGAGAGCTAATGGTAACATAAACAGATATCCAAACCGTGATGAAAGTAGAGGTTAAATCTAAAAACTAAGTTTGCAACTAGACTACTCTCAAAACTAAACTATCCTTTAAACAATAACCAGGATAAAGTATAAAAAATTCCACAATGAAAATAATACACTTATTGATATATGAAGGGTGAGGAGATAACTAACGTGAAAATGATGTGCATTAATCCAATAAGCAATACGCAATACTAAAAAGTATGTTACTGAGTGAACTAACAAATCGCTGGAAGAAAGCAATACCAATGTTTAGCTGTTAACAAAGATATATTGTCATTGGCGAACTGAAATGACTAAACACTAACATACACCGAAATTACTGCTAAGTTGGCGAGAATTTTCAGACATAAGTTTATGACAATTGTAACTTATTATCAAGGTGGACCTACAAAAGTGACAGAAATTATGCTTTAATAGATGACCTAACTCATCTCCTTGTTTAGAGACGTCATTAAATGACTCAAGTAGTAGTAGATCCTTATGAATTTATCCGAGTTAAAAATGTGCCTTCGTCAACAAATACAGACTCTATATTTAATTGGATCAAACGCCAACCATTATTTTTATGGGATTCTAATAATAGGTAGAAACGTAGGGCCAGATCAATGTGCGTTTATCAGTTTACTTGCTCACATGGAGCAGGTTATATTGTCCTCACAAAGCGAGCTTTTTCGAAACACATCTCCGAACATCACTCTGCTTGGCCTTCCAAAGGATTATAGAAGTCAGTCTAAAGCACAATCTTGGAGTAGCTAGTCAATTCTGGTCACTCCGCTTCACCAGAAGCCTCCTTCAAAACCATACATACAGTCAGAAGATTCAGCACAAGAGGATTGCAAGTGAAAAGCTTATGTACAGCAAAGGCTGTTGCAATCCGCCTGTTCAAGAATAACCTTTGCGTAGAAAAACAGTGTTTAGTGTCTTATTCTTCCATGGTCTTCATCTTCTTTTCTACCTCCCACAATCTATTATTTTTTTATCTCCACTCCTTTCCAAGTATTTTTATAACTATTAATTAACCATTATTAGAGATCTTAAGCATTCTGTTAATAGCTATTAAGTGAACAATTGTCTTCACCCTAGCACTTTTCACTGGCCGATCATTACACAACTTTCTGTCAATATCTAATTTTCGTAAAAATTCATGACAAGATACCACCTGAAGCTTCCTTCAATTATTCAACACTATTCTACTTTACTATGGGCTAATATTTTAGCAAATAAAATTGACTATACATACGATTGTACAGCTCAAGTAAGTGATCAAAAAAATAATTTTTTTCCACCGAGTTCCTTTCTCCAAAGAGAAACAGTTATTCACACTACCGCCAGTGTTAAACATTGATAGTGGAAAACCAGACAGTATTGATAAGAAAACACGAGTCAATCATACGAACTGCTGGGCACAGATAAATATCCAAAGTGAAAATCACAGTAAGATTTGTAGCTTAACATAAAAATCAACCACCAAACTTATTACAAAATCAATACGTCCAGAGGAATTGATAAGGATGATTTGTAATTCGGGTGTAAGTCAAGAACAAACCTCGCATTTATTTCAATTACTTGATATCCAGCATGCTGAGCCAACAAGTGAGCAAGAGTAGTTTTTCCCAAACCTGGTGGTCCAGAAATTAATATCAGTCTATATCGAGGTAGTCCATCACGAGGATTAATTTCACCAGCTATAGCTTCAATATCATTTGATTTGTATGGTGCCGGTTCTAGATTCGTGTTTGATTTAATTTGGGTTTTAGGTACTGGTGTCCCGAATACATATGGGTCCCAGGATTTCAACCACCTGAGGAGAGTTCGATTAGTAGTCTGCAACAAAACAGGTTTTTAGTAGTGTGGTGACAATAAGCAGTTAAAATTTAAAAATAGGACGAACTTCACAACTGGAAAAATGGTAGAATAGTAAATCATTTGACGCTACATAATTGATTTGCTACGAGTAATATGTCTACAACTATAAATCTAGACATAGCTGTCTATTAAGGGTGAGTATGGGCAAAATCAGTTTGGCACATTTGCTTAGTTCCATACATATATGGCTTACATTTGACCATTAAACGGAAAATTTGTATGGTATAATAACCTCAGTTAAACTCGAAATGAACATACACCAGGTTAGATAGCGAGTACTGACACATATTAAAATCTTACCTAACTCTTGTACAAAGTAAGTCGCTGTATACAGCAAAGAGGATGAGATCAAAGAAATAAGAACATACATCCACGTCAACCTCATGGTAAGCATTATTGACTGAAACAAATAAACAGGCTAACATCACCATAATCTACACTATAACGAACGACTAAAAACAGGTACATACTATTTACAGTGTGAATATACCGAGAATATTAATCGACATAATTTACCTCATCTGATATCAAGTCTAAATAAGTAGATGGGGAATATTTTGTAGTCCATAACTGTGCGAAACCAGATTTGCTGTGTTTTTCTTCGATTTGTGCACTGATCATGTTAGACTTGGAATTCTTCAGCTGATATATATTTATATAAATAGATACATGACAACAACAAATTGAAAAGGCTTACAAGTTCCTCAGCTTTATAAACTAAACCTGATGATTCATAGTTACAAAAATACTTGTACGATTTATCAGGTAAATCATCAATATCGGATTCACTAAAACTCAGATAAAATCGTTCACCACTATTAAACGTCAATGAAACATAATCCCCGACCAACGGAATCCTTTTCAATAGACCAGCATTTGTTGATGTAGATGTGCATGGCTGAATATTATCTTGGAGCTTTTCCTTCTCATGATCAGCCACCAATGTCTTTAATATTTTTGATGAGCTACCTAAAACATTTATCAACAGAGATAACAATAATTACATTGCTCCAACTCCGGTGATAGAGTCCTCTTATGGCTAGGATTTTGGGAACGGTTATTTGTGCCCAAGTCAACAATGGGCAATTGTTGATTTTCATACTTTACTTCTTCATCAATTTCAAGTAATCTATCAAGATCATCATCACTACAGTCGCAGTCCAACATTTGTAGTGATGTGATTATTCAAGGTCCTGTACTGAAAAGGATAAGAACAACGGTGATTACTTTTTATATAAACAAGAATAACGGTAATATAAGTGACACAAAGTGGCCTGGTACCCACTGTCGATCATAAACAACGTAAAGCATGGAGTAAATGTGTATTAGTCCAAGTTTTTATATTTCATTGCAAAAATGAGACGAAAAGCAAACGAGTCTAAATAATGTAGTCTCAATGATAATGAGAAAGACTAAATATTTTGAATATGGACCGAAATGAAAGGTGGGTGTTGAAGGAATAATCGAATTTAAGATCGAGAGGAGGATAAAGTGAATGCATCCGTGCCATTGCGGTTACTTCTAAACTATATTCCTCTAAGGCGAATAATGACAGATACAAAATAAAAATAAAAACAGATGATGTTAGATATCTGTATGAAAAATTAAGAGTTTCTAAGTAGAATGTGTTGAAATGATTAGAAGCGCTACATGAAAAATGAGTAATCAACTTCCGACACAAATGACCCCCGTTTATGCTTCAACAAAATAACATTAAGGAAGTCAGTCGGTCAGCCACAACGTAGGATCAGGCCCATATATGCATCGGTCCAAGTTGCCATACCTCGTTAGCACAACAAGATCAACACCGGATTCATAGAAGCAATTAATTTAGTGGTGGTAGTATATAAAGATAGGTTGTATATAAGGATATAGTATAGGAAGGAAAAAAGTTATGAAGCAATTTTAATCTCTGAGCAATATTTTTGAGGCATCTGTAGTTAAATACTAGTAACCTACGAGTATCTTCTACTCTTAATGGCCATGTTTCGCTGCCGTAAAGTAGAACAGAACGAACTGCTGCGCAGTATACTCGTCCCTTAATTGATAGACGGATATCTCGTCTTCACCATAGGTGACGTAAGTTGGCAAAAGTCAAACTAGCTTTTTGAATCCGTGCTGAGATTTCGTCAGACACCAACCTATTAGGGCTGATCAGACTTCCAAGAAAAGTGAAGTTGTCGACACGTTCGACTACTTCACTCCTTATCCTTAGTTCAGGTGTTGACACAGGCCAGTCCTGGAGTAACAATTTACATTTGGATGGGGAGAAACGCATCCCAAACATCCTGGCATTATTACTCAGTGCTAACAGAAGATTCTGCATTTTATCAGCATCTTCACCAAATAGGACTATGTCATCTGCGCATTCTAAGTCGATAAGTGGACCTCCTGGTAGAAGATCAATGCTTGAAAATTCGGTCGACGAGAGTGTTATTTCCAGAAATAGGTCTATAATGGAATTAAACAAAAATGGATATAGTGAACAACCTTGCTGGACACCACTTGAAGTTGTAAAATCAGATGACAGTTCGTCATAAGCTCTTACTCGACTGGTAGTGTTCGAGTAAAGAGCCTTCACAAGGTTTATGCACTTCTGAGGTAAACCTTTCAATGACAGACACTGCCACAGAACCTCTGTCTACAAAGTCAAATGCTGCTTTCAAGTCAAGAAAAACTATCACTGTCGGACGCCGATAAGCATGCCTGTGTTCTAAAACCTGACGAATAGTGAATATGTGGTCGATACAGCCACAACCAGGTCTGAAACCAGCCTGATTTTCTCGTGTTCGCAGTTCACGAGTCTTAGTTAAGCGTACATTAGGGAAGAGACTAAACAATTTGGCAAATGTACTACTCTTAACTACTACGACCTATATTGTGGCGTAAAAAACCATAACTATCTTTGTCAGGCTTGTGGCAGTAATATATATCCACTCAGGTTCAAAAATCCTTATTTTAGTCTATGAATTTCACAGGCATTTCTACTTCCCATGCAAAGTACAATACCGAAGTCTATTATTTTACATGTTCCATCTGCACAAGTTGTTTTGAACAAGGAAAAGTTCTGTAAACGAGACTGACAATAGACCATATTGTCATCAGTCATCGTTGGAGAGGCTCATTAGAAGGTTGTCGCTCGTATTGGAATACTTGTTTAGACTCTGATCACGCTTTAATACGAGCGCGCATTTGTCTGCGCCTCAATGGACGCAGGAAAAGTGCACTAAGAAGACCTATTAGGATTGAACTGGAGGGCGAGAAAGCCAAATGCGAATTCCAGAAACAACTGAGTTCACATCTAGGCAGTTCTGTAAACGAGGCTGACACAGATGCTGCTTGGAAAGACATACGAACAACTGTGGAAACAGCAGTAACATCTATTAGTTATTTAAACCATAGGGCTCCAAAAAACCAGTGGATTTCTTCTAAGTCTATTTCACTGATGGATTCGCGTAAACTCATCCCATCAGACTCTGAACACGACGAAGAGCGTAAACAAATTAGATCTAGGTTAACTAAAAGTCTAAGGAACGATCGTGAGAAGTGGTGGGCAACGAAAGTAAAAGAGATGGAAAAGGCAGCGGCTGTAGGCAACACCAGGCAACTATTCAGACTAATAAAAGAAACCGGAATTAAGAAGTCAAGTGTGAGACAATCTCGGAAAAAAACGACACTCTTATCTGCTCTCAGTTCAGACGTTTAGATCGATGGGTGGAACACTTTAAGGAGCAGTTTAGCTGGCCTTCAGCTACTGCACAACTACCCACTATTCCTAGAAAACCTGAATGGAACATTGAAGTAAGCCATCCGACCCTACTTGAAGTTCAAAAGGCTATAAGTAATCTGAAACGAGGAAGAGCAGCTGGTCCTGATGGATTGGCTCCAGAGGTCTTTAAATATGGTGGTCCAATTTTAGCGATTAGGTTGACTAATATTCTGGCTAAAATCTGGGAGACGGAAGTAATCCCATCTGACTGGTCACAATCTCTGATTGTCCCAATATATAAGAACGGGCCAAAATCATCCTTTGATAACCATAGAGGGATTAGTCTGACTAACATAGCATCTAAAATACTAGCCTCAATAATTATCGGGAGCCTAACTAAGACTCGTGAACTGCAAACACGAGAAAATCAGGTTGGCTTCAGACCTGGTCGTGGCTGTATCGACCACATATTCACCATTCGTCAAGTTTTAGAGCACAGACATGCTTATCGGCGTCCGACAATTATAGTTTTTCTTGACTTGAAAGCATAATTTGACTTTGTAGACAGAGAGGTTCTGTGGCAGTGTCTGTCAAGTGAGAGCTTATGGCGAACTGTCATCTGATTTTACAACTTCAAGTGGTGTCCAGCAAGGTTGTTCACTATATCCATTTTTGTTTAACTCCATTATAGACCTATTTCTGGAAATAACACTCTCGTCGACCGAATTTTCAAGCATTGATCTTCTACCAGGAGGTCCACTTATCGACTTAGAATGCGCAGATGACATAGTCCTATTTGGTGAAGATGCTGATAAAATGCAGAATCTTCTGTTAGCACTGAGTAATAATGCCAGGATGTTTGGGATGCGTTTCTCCCCATCCAAATGTAAATTGTTACTCCAGGACTGACCTGTGTCAACACCTGAACTAAGGATAGGGAGTGAAGTAGTCGAACGTGTCGACAACTTCACTTTTCTTGGAAGTCTGATCAGCCCTAATGGGTTGGTGTCTGACGAAATCTCAGCACGGATTCAAAAAGCTAGTTTGACTTTTGCCAACTTACGTCACCTATGGTGAAGACGAGATATCCGTCTATCAATTAAGGGACGAGTATACTGCGCAGCAGTTCGTTCTGTTCTACTTTACGGCAGCGAAACATGGCCATTAAGAGTAGAAGATACTCGTAGGTTACTAGTATTTAACTACAGATGCCTCAAAAATATTGCTCAGAGATTAAAATTGCTTCATAACTTTTTTCCTTCCTATACTATATCCTTATATACAACCTATCTTTATATACTACCACCACTAAATTAATTGCTTCTATGAATCCGGTGTTGATCTTGTTGTGCTAACGAGGTATGGCAACTTGGACCGATGCATATATGGGCCTGATCCTACGTTGTAGCTGACTGACTGACTGTTTTGAACAAGATTCTGTGAAAGAGGCCCTACGTCTATATACAAACAAGAGATGTCTAAAATGCTGGAGAGGGCAAATGAGAAAGCATTGCGTACGATTCAGCGCAACAGTAAACATAACCGTAATTTATTATCTCACATCATAATGCACTTCTACACACTTTGACGTTTGAGGTGAACCAGTGAAAGGAGTCCTAGGACTCATGGATCTGGGCATCTGTGAGTCCCACTGGAAGTGTTGTGGGTAAATTTACTATTCATTCCCGAGGCCGAAATGAAATCTCAACCCAGTGAAGCCATATACATAGATAAGATCTTAGCTTGGTTACAAAAATCCAGATACTCACTCAGGATTTCAAGACGTCTCACAACTGGGGATGAAGTCCTGTATATCACGTGGATTAAGGCATTCAGTATTTATTACATACAACCCAGAATCAAAACCACTGACAAACAATTGAGATTTTTCCTACTCCGAAGGATGGCAAAAGTTTCTAAGTACTACTGTTTTCTATTCCGATATCCAACTGACTGCTTCCTTTGCCTCCTACTTCATTAAGGAACGAAAATATGTCTGAATAAACAAGTAGTTGAGACCTTATTTCAGCAAATACTGGTCGCGTTACTTACTGTAGGTGTCCAAGTTATTTATTTGCCAGAAACTGATGGCCATATTATAAACGTACTAAAAACAATTCTAGAGTAAAAAGGTCTTCAACAAACACTGAATAGGTATCGTTACAACTGGGAAGTTTACTATAGTTTACTGTGCTAACAGTTATGAAAGACTTGATTTAACTGGTCGTGCTTGATAAAACCTTAGAACACAATTGCAATTTGGATATTCACAACTTCCGGTAATGTCAAAATAATTATTAGTAATACTCTTCCAGGCCATTATAAAGATGAATCTACTTTTATAATCATCCTTAACGTAAACTGATCAGGTTTGTGTTTACGATATCGTTACATCATAGTTATTAAATTTGTATGCAGTCGAATTATGTTAGCTTTTATTATTGCATATTATGATAATATATAACCAAGAAATACTACCGCTATAATTATTGTCCATTTATCAAAACATCAATCGACTAATCTGATTATGCGAATCGAAAAACTTCTGGTTAAGCGAATGACTTCAAAGTTAAGTGTATTATACCCTAGTGTCTTTCCTAATTGGAGTTTAGCTACAGGGAAGTCTCCATATGACATGTCCCATACTAATTAGTATGGGACATATTATTAGCTTTATTTGAATGTGAATAAGGGTGAAACATCAAAATTTAGGACGACAGTCTTTTTGTTGGAAAGACAAATGATGTAATTACGGATATCCAGTGGAGAACACTAAGGCCCCTTTTAAAACAGATGACCCTCAACTTGGAAATACGCGGTTGATTTATACCTGCAGTATAATGTGTATCAACCTTGAATGCATGCTTATCTTAACAAAAGCCTGTTGACTTTGAATCTTATTGTGTTTGCACCTAGTGTTGAGATACTTTTCATTGTTACCGTCTTTTGAAGAACCTGGAAGAGATAAGAATGAGCTGAAAAGTGAATTGATGACTCCATGAGTGTATGAGTTGAGCCTCAAGTTTATAATAAAACCCAGTTATTAAAATATCTTTCGATGATAAATGTGTTTCAGACAAAACCATTGTCAAACCTTGAATATCTGCGGCATCTTCAGTAGTGAGTTCGACGTGATCTGGTACACCACACAATAAATTGTGAGTCAAATGGTTCAAATGGTTGAGGACGGAACAGAAGTAGCTTTCGCTTAACGGGCTTCCATGTCCAGTAGCAGTGGATCACCAATACCTCCAGGCAAGAACCTAGGTATACTAACGATAATAGAGGAAAAAAGAAATTGGTAAATCATAATAAGGTGTTATCCTTAGTCCTTAAGAATTGGTCAAGTTTCCTCTTAAAGGACTCCTGGTAGGTCGCTTGGACTAGCTCAGTCGGCAGCGAGTTCTAGCATTTGACAACTCTTACGGAGTAGAAGTTGTGTCTACAGTCTGTTCTGCTATGTTGGGTCCCCATGTTCTGGATGTTACCTCTTAGGTTAGTGCTGTGATTAAGCTTAAGTAGATATTTAAGGGGGTGACCAGAAGTGTCAAGGATACTGTAAGTCATAAGAAGGTCACCTCTAAGACGCCTGTACTCTGACGGGCAAGGATTAAGTGATTGAAGGCGCTCTTCGTAAGGTTTGAATTTGAGTCCCCGAACAGATTTCGTGGCTCGACGTTGGATACCTTCTAGAGTGTCCTTATCCTTTTGGAGGGAGGGAGGGAATACTATGTTACCGTACTCTAAATGGGGACGAACAAAACTGTTGAAGAATATGTGGAAAGTTCTATCGTCAAACTGGCCGAAAATGCGCTTCAATTTTACCAGTGCAAGGTTTGCTTGAGAGGCGTTTTTGTCACAGTTAGCGTACGATTTCAAGTCGTAGGGTGCCAACACTCCTAAATCTTTTTCGACTTGGGATACTTCAAGAGAGGAGTTTCCCAAGTTGTAACTATAGTCTGCAACATGTCTCAGATGGACTGTTTTACACTTTGAAGTGTTGAAAGTAAGTCCGTTGTCGTCTGCCCAACTTTGAAGTTGAGTCACATCCTCCTGAAGTGTCAGTATATTCTTATGGTTACATATCTCTCTCCAAAGTTTCACACAATCAACAAAAAGTAATAAGTCAGACAATACTTGTTGTGGAAGATCGTTTATATAAATCAAAAAGGGAAGAGGTCCTAGTATTGAGCCCTGTGGGACCCCACTAGGACATTTCATAGCCTGAGAGAAATAATCTGTTCCTTGTTTTAACATGGCATACATATAATAATAATAATTTATTCTCAAATAACAGTTTGTTACATGAGGCATGCCGGTTTACAGGCAAGATCAAATTGTTACAGAAGTTACAACTTTCACTGTAGAAAATTACTCAGTTGGGTTGATATTTTATAAGATTTGAATGAAAATGGATTTCGTAAGAAACTTGTCAATATCACACTTGGCGCACTTTATGAATGTTGCTTTGCAACATACAGTTGATGGTCGAGAATATATTCATGCGAAGTTGAGGGCTTTGAGAAGCTTCGACCTTATATCCCTCCGGAATATCTGAGGCTTTAATAACGGTGTAGGATGAAGTCACCCGTCCCATATCTGTTTTCGGTGGAGTATCTCCAGGGGGCTGAAAATGGTGTAAGAAAAAGGAAGGACGAAAGCAGAGCATACATTATTCATGGTGGAGTAGTTAAGGTATAACTATTTAGTTTATTTGTCTGTTACTGAAGTCCTTATTAAGTAAGAGCACACTAATATGTTAAAGAAAACTATGTGTGAACAAGGTATAAGTGGATAAGGAACTGTATAAATGAAGGTAGTTCAGAAAGAAGTATGGGATTATGTGTATTTATAAAATAAAGTGCTGAAAACAGCATTCTAATACACAAATGGCTGTCTCCCTTCTTTACTGAAGCTATTTGAGCTCATTTTTGTTTTTAGAGTTTATGGGGTATGGAGCAGGATTTATCCTTAACAAATTGTCCACTTTGCTTGCAATAGGATTACTCGGTAGGAAATGGAACCAATTCAGCGTTTTAAACACGATTTAAAGAGGCATTTAGCATAAATAACTTCGCATCAATGCCGTTGGTTCGTGACATCCCACTTGACATAAGGAGCCGTAATTAAACAAAATGTTCTGCCCTACAGACACGGGTGGATTGAAGTTATCTCCCCACTATTATGTTTGCTGGTCTTTCTACATGTGATATTATTTTTGCATCATCGGATATTTTAGCCTATTTATCTATCTTATCATCATGATGTTGGAACAGACATTCAAGCTGTTAAACACGAAAACTCTTACGCACCCTACTTATCAACTCGCTCCATTCTAGCCTAATAATATTGAGGCCTGGTTCTATAACGTTAAAGCTGACTTCCGAGAGCACAGTATGGTAGTCCCGCGTGAAAACACCTAGTGAGTACGCTACCACGTGACTTGAACAGTACGTTACCTGAGTATGTTTACTAGCTATTTTCATTATCCTTATGACACCTAAAAATGTCTGCCCTTAAACGTGTAGACCTAACCGACCGACAACAGTAAGACCAGCTCTTCCACGATACAGAATCGCAAAAAGGCTCTGCAACGGAAACATTACCAATTATATGGCGATCATTGGTCAGCGGACCTTCAACAAAGGCTTTTTCAGACAGTACTTCTTGACCAAGATTCCCTATCTAGTGTAGGCTTTCCTCGTTTTATCCCAAAATAACGTCTTTGATGAAATGACTGCATCTGTCGGTAAGATTCTGCAGGCCACCAGGACTTCCAGCACGGAGGGTTGTTCTGTCAGAGAACAGTCCCAGATGACACAAAATGATATTGCAGATCTTTATAATAGTCGCACCCGTCATCTTCATATTCATCATAACCATAAATACTCCAGAACTCTCCGAAGAAGCCCATCACAAAGATCTACCGTCAGACTAAAAGGGATAAATAACCCCGGTTGTTTTTGATACCACAACACCCTTGGTAAGTCTTCTAGGAACGACACAGAACTCTGTGGCTTCCAAGACTACAAACCGCCCGTCACAATGAACTTTTTGAGGAGCTTCCTCGCCGTCACGTGTTAGTGGCAACTGTAGCCGGCAGACATAGTCATAGGTCATGCTTCAATGATATGATGATGAAATTTCTCTATCTCGTCGACACTAGCGCAAAAATAAGCATTCTAACCCCGAATACCAGTAACCGTCTATATGATCCGATCTTCAACTCACATGCAACAAACGGAAAACCGATCTCCATAAACTGTAGGAGATATGTTTACCTTAACGCGGCTTTACGAAAATCCATTCACTTGAGTTTCGTTGTTGCTGGTGTTTCTGTGCCAAGCATTGGTACAGGCCTGTTAGAAGGCCATGATCTACTAAAATGTCTACTTTTTGAACTGTATTTTCTGGTTGTAAGTTGTTTCCGGTCACTGTTAAGCATGTAATCGATCCATACTTTAAGTGCACACCCTGAGTTTTACAAAATGTTGCCGAGACTACTATGTGTTAACAGGAACGTTAAACACCACGTCACGACCACAAAATCACCTGTATTTTCGAAAGCGCGCCAACTAGCTCCTGAAAAGCTAATATTACTTCCAATACATTGGAAGGCGCACGCAAAATGATTCTATACAAAGAGACTCTATACAAACTCTACAAAGCAAGGTGGTAGCCATTCTAGATTACCTGAACTCGTCCACATTCAAGCTACTCCGCATGTTTAGCGACCTGGTAACTTTTTCATAGACTGTTCATACTGAATCGCGGATATCTCGGGATATCTTTAATAGACCAGCTACATGGAAATGCGAAAACAGTCAAATTGGACGATAGTGAAAAGAAAACATCCTCGACAGTTAGGATAATTATCACCAACTCGAATGTGCTTGCAAGGAACGGCATGTATTGTGCTGCACAACACTCTGGAGACCAAGTGGAAGGCCGAGAACTTACTCTTCACCATCTACAAAACGTTTACTCCTTAGCTCGCCCTCAGACAAACACTTTCCTCGGAAGAGTGGAC